CCCGCTTTTCGGTGGTCCCATCGGATACTCAGGCGGTATAACCATCGATACAGATGGTAACTTCTATGTTGGATTGAGAGGAGCTAATACAGTTCAAAAGTTCACATTGTTATCGTCATCAGGAGTACAAATAACGCAAGCACCATCAAAAGTACAAACAACGCAAGCACCATCAAAAGTACAAACAACGCAAGTACCAGTAAGATGTAAGACGAATTTGAATGTTTCCAGCTGATTTAGTAGTCTTAGTTCGACTCACTCACATATATTTTGTGCAGTAACTATCTATGTTGTGTCGGTGAAAATTGACCAGATGTATGAGAATAGCAGGCATAAATCAGAAATTGATTTTCTAAATCAATTTAAGTGAATTTGGAAATAGGAATTCATTTAACTAATTTTTACTTGATTAGCTTCAATTACTATCTGTAAAACAAATTGAAACGAATTTCCATCTTGAAAGTAATCCAAATGAACTTTTTTATTAATTTTATTCATATTAGCCCTTTAATGAATTTTTGATCTCTAATTCATTTTTATTGAGTAACAAAGTAACAGTTTAAACAAATTTCAATCTAAAGTTAATTTGAACGAAATTCTATGCCGATTCTGATAGATTTTCATGAAATTCTGAGGCTGCCATTGTACTTCTCGTAAAAAGTTATTTCGGGATTCTATGACAGATATATTATTGAGACTTTGAATTTTTCCTCATGCTTTCTATGAAAACATATCAAGAAAACCTTAGACACTAATTTGATTTAATTCAGATTCGTCTGTAACCAAAGTTGACTATAATTGATTTCGAAAAAGATGGATTTTAATTGATTTCAAAACCGAGAAGTTTCAGCAAAGGCTTAACTCCGAATTAGTATATATTAATTGAGCCACAGAGAACTTTCAAGGAAATTTCATTCAAATTCAATCATGCAAATAAATCGATTTGAATCACTTTATAAAAGCATTAATTTAGACTAATCTTCAACTTCAACTAATTTGTGTATTAGTAAATGAGAGTATGGATATCTCAATCGCTGCTCTTTATATTTTTAGTAGTCACTTCAACTGTTTCAACTGGCACAAAAGCACGTAAGTTCATTTTGATAAATGAAACGAATTGATCGTCTCTGCCGCACTAGGATCTAAATTCGAGTTTCTTTTAAAAAGTCAGTTACAGAACTGGGCGCCGAGTGGTGTCACGAAGAGAAAAATGCTCAGAGGCTCTGTTTCTCAATGTGAAAGAATAAAATTTTTCTCTTTTTGTCTAATTGTGCTAGTTCACAAAAAGTGCACAAGTTAAACATTTTTTGTTCAACCACTTTATGCAACTTGCATAAAGTGTTTGGACGAAAAAATGGCAGTGACTGCCATTCTTTGCCAGATATCGACTCGGCACGATGTTTTGTACGTTTAGACGGAAATCGCTTTGTAGCACGGTTTTAAGGGTTTAAAAACATTTTTTTTGTGGACATTTGAGTCATAGTTAAATGGAGTATTCGGTTTTAGCTTCGAAAAGTGCTCAAGTGTCATCTACCGGTAAGTGGAGAAGTTATGTCTGCATATCACAGCCTATGATGTATTTGCACATTTTCTAGCACCTACAAGTCGATCGTGCCCGGGTAAGACCAGAATGTTTTTTGAAATTTTAGAAATGGATTGAGCCAACTCGAGGTATGGGATTGTTGTATGACACAGTCTAGTACATATATTAGCACATGTACAAGAAGTCGTAGTTCCAACTCTATTCTTATGTTTATATATTTGTTGACACGTTTTGCTCTTGATAATGACAAATATAATATCGAAACATCGAACGAAATTATTTTATTAAAATACAATTTAAACTAGCTACTATATTAATTAATTATTGCATTTCTGAATTTATTGCCTACTTAATCGTAAAAATGCTTCTAAACGTTGTTTTCAGACAATATGGATTCAGTGACCAAATAATATCAGTTACATCCGTTGACTTTTACTAAACAATATAGTATGTACCGATACAGTATGTACTTTTACTGACCAAACTATATTGAACATTTTTTATACATGGTATAAATAAAGGAATATGGATGAAACACTGCGAAGCCTCAGTTCCTATTACTTTGCAGCCTGAAAAATAGTTGTTAAACTTTAGTCCTCTACAACGTGCGACATAAGATAAGAGAAAATGACCAATTTTTAACCTTGAAAAGCTCTATCAATTGGTAATATTTAAAACTTATCATCATTATAGTTGGTTGTGAGAGAATGCCTTTTCTTTTATCGATTTTATCCAAAACCATCGGCCTTAAACATCAGTTTTGGCGCACGTGAGAAAACGCTTATAAATCGGTAAAAATTAAACATTTTGGAGCCGGGGTTGTCTCATCTTAAAGCAAAATGATTTCTGTTGCATCCGAACAGAAAAACACCGCTTAATAGCTCCATTTCTTCTACTGTGTGTCAGCGCGAACTAGTCAACGTTTCCCTCTTTTCTAGTGAATTTACTAAAATTACCGTCTGTCCTAGAAAAATGCTTTTAAAACTAACCTATGATAGATGAAAAGAAAGGCAACACTTGGAAGCACTAGAGAACACGTTTTGGTTTTGCTTTTTATACATAGCATTGTCTTCAAAATAAATATTTTTACGTAGAGTTTTGAGCTACAGAGTAATGGAGATTAGAGCTTTTCAGTGTTTCATCCGTATTCCTTTATTTATATCATGTATAAAAAAACGTTCAGTATAGTTTTGTAGAGAATTGAACAGGGAATCTTTTAAAAACGAAGTTCGAGTCTTGCAGTTGAAAATTGATAGAGATATTGGTGAAATACTAAGTGACTTATTTCAGCTGAACCATCCATTAACTTCCATTTTGACTATGCATCGTCTGACTTTGTAGTAGTGTTACCAACAATTTGTCCCACTGGCACATGGAACTCGGTCGGAACGATGGTTGGCAGTGGCTCATCTACTCTTAGAAATGTGGCTGTAGACACTTTAACCGGGAACGTCTATGCTGCTCACGGGGTAGTTTCAAACGGTCAACTGCTTAAAGTTGCTGTTCCATATACCGTAATAGCATCAAGTCTAACATTTCCTTGGGGCGTTGCTGTCGATCACTATTCAAATATTTATGTAGCGTACGGTACCAGAGTAAACAAGTATCCAGGCGGCATATTAGTAGCGGGTGGAACAGGCACAATAGCTTCTCCTCAAATTGCATATGGTATTTATGTCGATTGTTTCGGCGCAATATATGTAGCAGACCACGGATACCATCGTATTCAATTGTGGGCAAATTCTAGTGTCGGAGTAACAATTATTGGTAACGACACTCCTGGAAGCGGGCCAAACCAGGTAGACGGGCCGATAGATGTTAAAGTTGATCGGCAGGGTAATATTTATGTACTCGATAGGAGTCATTCACATTTACGTCATCCATTTAAGCAACGAGGAGACGACCAATGATGTCGATGTGGAAATGTTTTTAGATTTTAAATCAAAATATTGCTAGAAAACAAAATTTTTCTGGTGCTACCATCGAGTTATAAAATACAATACATCTGCGTATTCGAAGCGCTCAGTGCATCATTAAAGATTCAAAATCCATTTTTATTGTTTTTTGTATAACGCCACCCACAGGAAGCAGATATCTCGTATTTCGTACACCGATGAATTGGGGAACTTATAATTCCTTCCATTCTTTTCCCACTTTTGGGAAAACGCACCCAGAAGTCCCATTAGTGTGAAAAAAGCCGGAAACGCTCGATTTTGGCCGCACACCTGACGCTAGAAATCTTGATTTTTGCAGCAAACGGCTCTATAACCGCTTGATCCTTTCTTCAACAGAATCAGGATCACTAAATTCACGCTCCAGGCTAGCACATAGAAACATTGTTTTTTTTTGCGTCAGAAGAAACTAATACGAAAGATTTAGAGACTGTTCAAAGAAGTTACACATTAGACCAATAGTCTCTTTCGTTCATTAGAATTTAGTTCGTTGTTAATTTTTCCTAGTTAACGTACTCTTTATCAATACAAAAAATAATCTTTTTTTATTATTATTATTTCTTTTGACAACAATATCGAGGGAGGAGGGTGATAATTGTAGAAAAATTATGGTCTAATATACGATCGATGCAGTACCAATAATAATCGAATACAAAAATACCCATCGGGCGGCGGGACCGGTGTAACCGTAGGAACTCTTCCAGTGCAAAGTGAAGCAAATGCATTATTTGTAGATGATTGTGGGAACTTTTATGTTAGCGAACCATCAGGCGTATATAAATTTACTCCGTCATCGACTACAGGAACATTAATTCCATTAACATTTACTGGTATGGCAAGTGGAATCGCATTTGATGCTCAACTGAATCTGTATATAAATGTAAACAATGGTGCAGTTAGTTCTACGTATAAATATACTCATATCTAATTGTGTATAAAAAAAATTACTTTTAAAATATTCATTTTATACACTTCTCAATTTTACAAGTTTTGTTTTATGTTCTCGTTAAATTTATTTTTTAATGGAAATTAGTTAATGGAAATTCCATTAATTCAACTGGAGTTAGTACATCAAAAAAAAAGAATTGTATCCCTGCAACAAATTGATTTTAATTTATTTTGCGCGTTTGGATCCGTGCACACCCTTTTGACATTAAAACTTGCGGTACGAAAATTATCTATTTTAAAAACAATTTATGATATAATTCTACCGATTTAGTTTAACTCAGTGCACAAGCAACAAAAAAATAAGAAATCAAAATATGCAATTAGCTATCTAAACAGCAACGTGTTAAAAACAAAAATTATTTTCTTTTTTTATTATTGAACATTTCTGTTCGTCACAACGATCTATCAGTGAAAAAGATCTATCATTCTCTGTGCTGTATGGCTCTGTGCCTGAGAGTATCAAGAAATTGTTTATGTTCTCCCGTGTGTACGGGTAATCTCTCAATTTTTTGACTAAACGTTGCCATTAAATCCGGTGCTGTTTTAACCCTTTACTTACCAAGGGATAACCCATGATCCATTCGTAGAATCGTTATAAAACGATAATGCAGCATGTGGTAAAAAATGGGTTGCTTTTGAGAGCAAGATAATTCCCTAAGCTATCGATTGATAAAAAAAGATTTTCTTTCCAGCACTTTTTGGTGCTTCATTATCCTTTTATAACGATTCTACAAATGGGTCGTGGGTGACCCCTTTGTAGGTAAAATGTTAACGCGGTAGTATAGGAAGAATCAGTACAGATATTCTGATTCGCCTTTTTACGCAGACTCTTAAGACTAAATTTTCTGATCAAGTTTAACTTGGGAAAAATCTTGAAAAAAAGCCGGAAATTCTGAACCATCCAGTACAATGTTAAAAATGCACTTTTTATTTCTCAAAAAATGTTAGTTTTAACAGTGTAATATGCAGAGAAAGCAAAAGTTTCCAAGAAAGCTCTCCTCGATGGTGTTTCCTATCTATGCTTAAAAAACTCCAACATGATCAAACAATATTGCGATAAGATCGCAATGTTTGCCTATGATGAGCTTGTTTCGAGAAAGATTTGAGAAATTAAGAGATACCGGAATGCTAAAGATTAGGAACTGGCATTAATAACTGGTGTGTATGGTTATCGAAATTTCACCTTAAGGTCGTTTGATAGTGGCCACCATTGCGTCTATAAAATGGATAATCCAATGAGAGAAGTTAAACCAAAACTGATCAAAACAGACGCTCTTGAACCTTCATGAAGATAAACGGTCAATGGTGGTAGGATAAACAAGACGATAATTAACATTAATCAGTTTTGATTTAAACGTTTATTAATCAGTTTTCGACAATCATGTTATATACAAACCAATGATTTTTTAGCCATGTTCGCTTATTGTCATCTAGCAATAAAAAGTTCATAACTCGCATCAGAATATATCGTATTTGAGCTGCCTTATCGTCTCTTCATGAGAGAAATACGTACACTCTAAAGATGATCTCAAGATTTTTCGAAATTTTTCCGAGAAAACCTTCTAATTAGAAAAGACTATTTTTACGTATTGATCCATGTTAAAGTTGAATGTACTCATACATTTTACAACTTATTAATTTTTCAATTTGAAAATTTCAAATTTTAAACTCCTTCGCGTAAAATTTGCATTTTAATGTATGAAAGTTCATTTGAAACATGTTTTTTTTTTATTAAAACGTAGCCTGTGAACGTGTGTAATACACTATACACTTAATTTCGAATTTTTCAGAAATGTTGAGAAACTGAAAATAAAGAAATTGGACATAAACTTTTGTTCGCTAGAGAAAAAGAAATGTTTTGTCTTCGTATCAAATACAAATACAATAGCAATACAACTGCAACAATATATAGCATTCTTATCAGATAACTTCAACAAAATGAAAAATCATTCTCCCCCCGACTGTAATTATCCATTTCTATGCTCATACCTAAATAGTATAATTGCCAATAAGGATAAGTATAAAAAAGTGTTCTGAGTATAAAGAAAAGTTTGATGTGATACTAATTAGAATTGGTTCATCGAATTCTAATCGTCAGTAAACAAAGAAGTAATAGCAATAATTACACTACCATTATTCCGTTGCTTTCCATTTTTATTGATTTTTATTTCGACAACAGCAGTTTTGTATAGAAAGAGTAAATTTTAGTTTTATAATAGAAAAATTTAACTTATATATAAACATGTTGTCAGAAAAGCAAAAAAGGTTGTAACACCTATAAAAATTGCATCATTTCTATCCTATTTTTTTCCCTTTTACAGTTGTAAGTGGTGCCACAGTTTGATTTTGAAAGATTTTATTGTTGGCGAGATATCCACAGTATCGGGGAAAGAGTTCCAATCACGAACTGTCCTATACAAGGTTTTCAACAAGGACTTTTCCTAGTGTATGAAAATCACGTGTGATCATGTGAACCGCTAATTTTTGAACTGACCCAAGTTGACTTTCCAAATCAGCAAAGTTATTATCATACAAAGCACAGGCGTAATCTCATTTAGCTAATATGCAGGTTTTATAAAGGACGAGGACGATTATTTGATGGAATCAGTCCCTGCTTGAATTCCATCGACACACACATGGTAAAATGCACAATGAACAGGAGAACATTTCTAGACACTCGACAGACCTTAGAATTGCTCTCAGAAAAAGTTCGGTCCAATTAACTGTAATCAAAGTTATGCTCCTTCTGATACGTATTATCGATCATATTTTCGAATGTGTCTCTCTCGGCTTCATACCTTACTGGAACTATTATATGTCGTTCGAAAGCTCCTTTTCTGCACTATATTTCTGTACATCCCGCATACAGAAATAGTCGTTCTGAGGCGAAGTATGTTTAGAAATACTACCGGCTATGGAAAATAATCTTCTACGAGCCAAAAGTCTAAGATAATCTATGACACGCTTATCATCTAGCCAATATGATAGATATACCATTCGATAGAGAATTTCTCGCGCTACAATTTCATGTAGATAAAACAGTGAAAAAGGGGTCCTAGGGCACTGTGGTATTAGAAATACTCAGCAAAGCCGTGACAAGTGGGCGACTTGTTGAATGATGAGGATACTATGATCAACGTTTCTCAACTAGCCACTAAGATAGATATACCATTTGATAGAGAATTTCACGAGCTTCAAAATGAGCCATAAATAACTATTTCAAAGATATGTCTACATGAGTCAATAGTTGAAATACTTGGCCGATATAATGATTTTCACCAATAATGTCAAGAACTCCGTTGTTTTTGACTTTTTAGTAAAAGCTGGAACCAATCTGAATAATGTTTCGAATAGTCCGAAGATTTTTCTATCAGGTGAGGTGCATATCGCCCTTTCATGAGAAAAGTTGATAATAGAGCTTCTGGAAAACCAAGTCCTTAGTTTTCGATAAGAAAGTTTTACGAACCATATGGCCTGATAGATCGAAGAATTTTGAGCAGAATAAGACATCTCCCGGCATTCTATAGTGCTATCTCACCGGAATATTTTCATAACTTTCATGTGTTTTGTAGCTAGTGGTAACTCGATTGCAGATGCGTAAAAAAGCACTACAGAATGCCGGGCGATGTCT